ATGATGATGATGATGGTGCTGCTGTTGATGATGATGATGGTGACGATGATGATGCTGATGATGATGCTGCTGGTGATGGCGGTGATGCTGATGATGATGGTGCTGCTGCTGATGCTGATGTCGATGATGATGCTGATGCAGATGGTGGTGCTGATGAAGAGGATGATTCTGTTGATGATGCCTTGAGGCTCCTCATGCTGATGCTGACGCAGACGATGGTGATGATGCTGATGACGATGATGATGCTGATGATGATGATGCTGATGCTGATGCTGATGCTGATTCTGCTGATGATGATGCTGATGATGATGCTGATGATGATGACGATGTTGATGATGATGCTGATGATTATGATGATGATGATGATGATGATGATGATGATGATGATGATGATGATGATGATGATGATGATGATGATGATGATGATGATGATGATGATGCTGCTGCTGCTGCTGCTGATGATGATGATGATGATGATGATGATGACGATGGTGGTGGTGGTCATGATGACGGGGTGCAGGAGAAGACGGAGGAGGATGAGGAGGATGTCCTGGAGGGTCTTCCCTTTGGCCCTCGCCCACCGTTCTTCATGTCTAGTCGTTTAGTGCCCTTCCTCTCTGTCGGCTCCTCCCTGGTGGTCCGCGAGTTGTATATCAACTGGACAGCTGCGAAAGCACATAGCAAAGAGTGGCCCAGCAAGCTGGCGCCAGGGGTCCAACAGGCTGCAGCCTAGGGCAAGTGACAGGTAGCATGCTACATCAATGGGCGGTCGCGCCTGCGCCCAGCAAGCAGTTTCTCAGCAAGCGGGGTAAGAGGACGAGGAAGATCATGAAAGAGTGGACAAGCATGGGGACTGGGGGAGGAGGGGAGGAGCAGGAAAAGGAGGAGTGGGAGGGATAGGGAACGATGAGGATGACGAGGAGAAGAACGAGGCAGTCGAGGACGTCTAGGAGGACGACGAGGACGACGAGGACAACGACTAGGACGACAACGACGACGGTGACGACGATGACGACGACGAGGACGATCACGACTGCGGTGGTGGTGGCGTCGGCGACCCTGCCGCGGCGCGTTGGCGACGCCGCTCGCGGGTGCCGCTCCGACCAGGCCTTCAACCAGGGCTGGGCCGCCATGCGCCGAGAGCTGTCCTGGCTGTACTCGAGGCCCTGCGGAGAGGAGGGAGGCGGGGGCTGGGCGGAGGAGGGAGAGGAGGACGAGGAGGAAAGGGGGGAGGGAGGGGGGGTGAGAGGAGGAGGGGGAGGGAAGGGAAGGAGGGTGGGAGCGAGGGAGGACGAGGGCTCAGTAAGGGTAGGAGGAGGATGTAGGGGGGGAGGAGGAGGAGAAATAGGCCGACGAGAACAATGAGGACGATACGGCCCATGAGGAACAGAAGGGGGAGGCGGAGGACGATGATGCGGATGATGATGATGATCCTCCTCCTTCTCGTTGTCCTCCTCCTGTCTCAGCCTGTCCCTGTTCCCTTTTGTAACTCCTTGCGGCCTGCGGGAACGGCGGGATGAGCGGCGGACGCACTGGGCGACCAGGTTCTACGGCATCCTCGTCGTGGGCCTCTTGCTTGTCTACAATAGCCTCGATCGCTTGGAACACGCCCGGGGGGGGCGCGCGCTGCTGCCCCCCTTCCTCTGCCCCCCTGTCCCCGCCCAGGAGGAGACGCATGAAGATGAGGAAGAGGACCAAGAGGATGAGGGGGAGGAGGGGGAGGAGCAGGAAGAGGACCACATCAGCTAAAATAGGAGCTCGACCACAAGAGACCTTCCACAAGAAACCCACCCCTGAGACCCCAGGACGTCCATTAATTTTTGGTGTGGGAGCCTCACGCTTTCCACAGCAAAACCATCGAAGCCCAAGCAACCCAGCGCACCCTGGAGGCAAGCAGGGTGTTTCTTGGCATGTGCTTCCATTGGATTGCACGCGTATAGTCAGTACGAGCTCCCAGGTATGTGTTCGTTTTCTGATTCATTGTTTTGCCGATCGGGGCCCTCGCACCGTCTCCTCCCCCCCATGGAGTAGACCTTAGCCTTCTTTGGTGCCTGTCTCAAGCAGGTGGAGCCCCCCCCATAGTACGCACTGTTGCAAACAGTCGCATTAAGCAGAGGTCCGGAGCCAGACCCCCCTCTCCCCCCCCTTCCGCCCAATGTCGAAACGTCGAATAAGAACACGTTCACTTAGAGCAGCCGTCCCTGCACAACATCTCCGGGATGGCAGCGAGCAAGGAATAAAACCGCAGGCCCCTCGAGGCTTCTGGGGAAACCCTCTCGGGCCTCTTACATTCCTGGGGAGTGAGCTTGATTCACAGGAGGGACAGGAGATGAAGGAGGATGAGAAGGATGAGGATGGTCAGTATGGGTAGAATGAGGATGCCGAAAGGGAGGAGGACCATGCTGAGAAAACGATGAGGTCGAGGTCTGATTAGAACAATGAGGAGGATGATGGAAGCATAATGCAGTGGGTAATCAGGATGAGGTGGACAACGAGCAGGAGCAGGAGCGGGCTTGACTGCTGAGCCGCCTGCCACGCCGGCTCGGAGCAAGGTCTGTTGCCCAGCGCAGCCGCCCGCCCCACCAACTGTAGCCTCGCTCTCGAGGAGGCGCGCGGAGCAGCCTGGAGAAGTGCGAGGAAGGAGGATGGGAGAGAGGATCGAGGAGGAAAAGGATAGGATAGAGGATGAGGAGGACGCATCGGGATAGAGGATGAGTGCAATGATCGAGGTGGGATCGGACATATCAGCAATCGGATGATGTCGATGACGGATGACGATGGCCACGACGACGAACAGGATGAACATGACGTAGATGATGGCGATCATGGTGACAATGCTGGGATGATTAGGATGTGGATGACGATTTGGATGATGGTTACGATGACGATAGCGAGGATCATGACGATTGTGGCTGTTGTAGTCATGATTGTGACGCCTGGTTGTGACACCGATCACGCTGGTGACGATCGCGATGGCCGTCCGTTGGCGACGACGCTGGCGTTGGACATGACAAGATCGACGACGACAGATGATGACGACGACAATAATGATGATGATGATGATGATGATGATGATGATGATGATGATGATGATGATGATGATGATGATGATGATGATGATGATGACGATGATGATGATGATGATGATGATGATGATGGAAATGATGATGATGCTGATGATGTTGATGAGGAGGGCGATGATGTTTGATAATGGTTACAATGATGATGACGATGACGATGACGATGATCATGATGATGATGATGATGATGATGATGATGATGGTTGTGATGCTGATGATGGTTATGATCGTGACTGTCTGCAGCACGCAGAGCACAGCTGACCACTTCACCGAACGGCTCAGACAGCGTGCGCTTCACGACGATGATGATGAAGGTGATGATGATGATCATCATCATCATCATGACGCTGACGACGATGATGATGCTGATGGTGAAGATGATGCTGCTGCTGCTGCTGCTGATGATGATGATGATGATGATGATGATGATGATGATGACTACGACGATGCTGATGACGGCTATATTGGTGATGATGCTGAGGACGACGATGGTGCTGATGATGAGGAGAAGGAGGAGGAGGATAGAAGGGACGTCGACGATGATGATGGTGATGGTGATTGCGATGGCGAGGATGCTGATATCGATGATGATCATTATGATGATGATGATGATGATGACGATGACGATGATGATGATGATGATGATGATGATGATGATGATGGTGATGGTGATGATGATGATGATGATGATGATTCTGATTATGACGATGATGACGATGATGGTTCTGATGCTGACGATGGTCACGATGGTGATGATGATACTGATGATGATGCTGAAGCTGTTGATGATGATGATAACCATGCTGCCGCTGCCGATGATGATGCCAATGATGATGCTGATGATGGCAGTGGTGGTGCTGATGATGATTACGATGCTGGTTATGATGATGATGATGATGATGATGATGATGATGCTGATGATGATGATGATGATGATGATGATGCTGATGCTGATGATGATGATGATGATGATGATGATGATGGCGATGATAGGACTTAGAATGATGATCACGATCACGACGATGACTAGCATGGTCATCATGATTTCCTTGTTGCTGTTGTGGTTGTTCTTGTTGTTTTCATCGTTGTGGTGATTGTGCTTGTGGTTGTGGTTGTGGTCGTGGTCGCGGCTGTGGCTGTGGTTGTGGTCGTGGTTGTGGTTGTTGTTGTTGTTGTTGTTATTGTTGTTGTTGTTGGATGATACTCATCTCTAGGGACTGATTATTGTTGATCTCCAGAAACAGTTTCGCGCGCTCTCGCCTCGACGCCAGCTACATTTTCTCTGAAAACGATGCTCCCGCGCGAGCGTTGATTTGAGTGTAAGTGTGTGCCCTTGGAGGCCCAGCTACAACGACAACAGCTCCCGCTGGACACTTCCTCACAATTTACCCCGACACACTCTGGCCAGAGATGCCCCCGAAATCAGGAACGGGGCTTTCGCTCGAGATGTCCTCGCAATTCAGTCAAGTTGGCGGAGGCCCAGCCACGACGACAACGGCTCCCGCTGGATACTTCCTACTTCCTCACAGTTTACCCCGAGACATCCTGGCCAGAGAGGCCCCCGAAATCAGGAACGGCACTGTCGCTCGAGACTTCCTCGCAATTCAGTCAAGTTGGCGGAGTCCCAGCCACGACGACAATGGGTTCCTGCTCGATGCTTCCTCACGATTTACTAGGAGAGCCCCTGTCCAGGAAGGCTCCCGTGTCAGGAACGGCGCTCTCGCTCGACATTTTCTCGTGATTCAGTCGAATTGGTGGAGGCTCAACTACGGCGACAAGGGATCCCGTTCGATATGTCTTCAAGATGTATTCGCAGAGGCCCTTGCCAGAGAGGCCCCCGAACTCAAGAGTGGCGCTCTCGCTCGAGACTTTTTCGTAATTCAGGCAGGTTAGTGAAGGCCCAACCACTGCGACAAGGGTTCCCGTTCGATATTTCTCCATGTGTATTCCGAGAGCCCTTGGCCAAAGAGGCCCCCGAATTCAGGAACGGCGCTTTCGCTTGAGAGTTCCTCTCCTCGCACTTCAGTCAGTAGCCGACAAGGAAGGTACTCCCCCCGAAAGGGTGTGTGATCGAAGACGAAGTGGGCGGGTATCGAGGAGGCTTGGGGTATACACAAAGCAAGACACGCGTGCCAGTAAGAATGAACAGTCTTACAATGATTATTGTTGAGTTCTCTTCTTAAAATATTTTTGTTGATCCCCCCCTCCGGGGCACATGTGTTTTTTAATTGAAGTGCCCTTCCCGGCGCTCGCACCCGGTTTTTTACCAGGGAAAGTCTTCCTCCTCAAACTGTGTCCTTGGCCCCCGGTTTACAACAACAACAACAACGGCTCCCGCTTGATATTCCTCGAAATTTATTTCGGCCCCCTGCTCCCGCTTGAGACTTCCTCGCAATGTACTCAAGAATCGCGCTCCCGCCTGAGACTTCTTCGCAATTTACTCAGGCGCCGCGCTCTTGCCATTCAGGACTTCCGCGTTCGCTGGGGACTTCTTCAAATTTGCATAGGAATTGCTCCCTGCGGAAATTTCCTGGCTTATCACGCAGAACTCACGAAGGAAAATATATACCCACCAAAAAGTGGTATGATCGAAAACGACGAGGGCGGGTATCGAGGGTTCGGGAAATGCGCGCTGAATGACATTCGAGCAGATAACAGCGAACAGTCTTAATATGATTCTTGCTGTTGTTGAATCTTCATTTCCAGAGACTAGTTATCATTGGTCTCCAGAAACGGTTCTGCGCGTTCTCGCCTCGACGTTGGCTACATTTTCCCGGAAAATGAGGCTCCCGCGCGAGCGTTGGCTTGAGTCTAAATGCGGGCCTTTGGAGGCCCAGATGCGACGACAACGACTCCCGCTGGATACTTCCTACTTCCTCACAGTTTACCCCGAGACATCCTGGCCAGAGAGGCCCCCGAAATCAGGAACGGCACTGTCGCCCGAGACGTCCTCGCAAGTCAGTGAAGTTGGCGGAGGCCCAGCCACGACGACAAGGGTTCCTGCTCGATACTTCCTCACGATTTACTAGGAGAGCGCCTGGCGAAGGCCCCCGAACTCAGGAACAGCGCTCTCGCTCAAGACTTTCTCGTAATTCACGCAAGTTGGTGGAAGCCCAGACACGGCGACAGGGGTTCCCGTTCGATATTTCTCCATCGGTATTCAAAGAACCCCTGGTCAGAGAGGTCCCCGAACTCAGGAACGGCGCTCTCGCTCGAGACTTCCTCGCGCTCCAGTCAGTGGCCGGCAATGGAGATTTTTTCCCCGAAAGGGGGTGCAATCGAAGACGAAGTGGGCGGGTAATTATCGAGGGTTGGGGTACACAGACTGCAAAACACGCGTGCCAGGAGCGAGCAGTCTTGAAATTATTGTTGTTGTTGCTGTTGTTGTTGCTGCTGCTGCTGCTGTTGTTGTTGTTGTTGTTGTTGTTGTTGTTGTTGTTGTTGTTGTTGCTGCTGCTGCTGCTGCTGTTGTTGTTGTTGTTGTTGGTGCTGGTGCTGGTGTTGGTGTTTTTGTTGTTGTTGTTGTTGTTGTTGTTGTTGTTGTTGTTGTTGTTGTTGTTGTTGAACTCTAATTATTGAAGAATAATTATTGTTGATCCCCCCCTCCGGCGGACATTGTATTTGTTCAAGTGAAGTGCCCCTTCCGGGGCTCGCACCCTGTTTTTTATCAGGGAAAGTCGTGGGCATCAAACTGCGTTGTTGGCCCCCCGGACAACAACAACAACGGCTCCCGCCTGATACTTCCTCCAAATTTACTCAGGACCCCCGCCCCCGCCTGGGACTTCCTCGCAGTTTACTCAGGCGGAGGCGCTCCCGCCTGAGACCTCCTCGCAATTATTCCGGGGCTCGCACCCGTCTGTCTGGTTCGTCCGTTTGTTTACCTCCTCTTTTGCCCCCCTCCCCTCCTGCTAACCTCTTTCGTCCTCCATCCATCCTCCCCCCCTTGCCCCTTCCCTCCTCCCTCCCTCCCCCCACTCTTTTCCTCCTCGCTCTCCCTTCCTCCTTCCCCCTGCTCTTCCTGTTTTAGGGGCTGCGCCAACTACACGTGGCGAGTAAAAAAGATATACCCCCAAAGGGGTATGACCGAAGACGAAGAGGGTGGGTATCGAGGGTTTGGGATTTACATATGGAGTGACGCGCGCGCATATAAGAGCGATCGGTCTTAAGATGATTGTTGCTGTTGTTGTTGTTGTTGTTGTTGTTGTTGTTGTTGTTGTTGTTGTTGTTGAACATTATTAATTCTAAAGAATAATTATTGTTGGGACCCCTGGTGCACGGCCCCCCCGCCGCGCCTAGGCCGCAGCTACATTTTCATCATTTTTTCGCGAAAGCTTCAGAAAAGTGGATGGGGTCCAGATCCGGTTGTTTTGTTGTAATCCGTTTTCCCTTGCAAAAAACACTATAAAATGACATTTCTTGTTCTAATATAATCAAATTTCAAGAATCCCTTGCAAAAAATAAGGTAAAGTGGACATTCGCGCGCGCAAGACGAAATCCTTCCAAAAGCTTAGTGTTCGGAGCGATTTTAACATAAAAACATCAAAAAACCAATGGTTTTTCAACAAAAAAATGTCAAAATCTCATCCCGCGCGCTCTTGCGGATTCGTAGGAAACCCAACACTTTTTAAACATTTCTGTCAAACGGGCTTTTGCGAGCAACTTTTTCGAACTTCTGCGACAACGGTTGCGCACCTAATAAGTGACCAAGTTCTGTGGGTGTGTACCCCACGCCAGTGTAGTAGCCACGGTCGTCCGCACGCCACGAAGTGAAGTGTCCCAACGTCATAGGGCGGGAAGCTGGGTTTGGGTGGTCGCGAAGAGTCGTTTGGATATTTGGTAGAGCTTGTAATGCCCCCCCACGAAGTGGGGGTATTGCCTGGTGTCGTATGAAAACCCTGGCACTGGGGAGAACACCGCGCGTTCGGGTAAAATGATTGTTGTTGTTGTTGTTGTTGTTGGATGTTGAATGTTAATCACTAAACACTTATTATAGTTGGACCCCCCAGGCGCTTTGGCGCTCTCGCCTCGGCGCCGGCTACATTTTCATTGAACATGAGGCTCACGCTCGAGCGGTTTGGGGGGCGCCCAAACAGGCCCCCCAACAGCAACAACGCTCCCGCTTGAGATTTCCTCTTTTTTACTTAGGGCCAGTGCTCTTGCTAGCCGCCAAAAACCGCCGTCCCAACACAACCAGCGCTACCGTTCGAGACTTCCTCCCGTTTTACTCTGGACTGGCGCGCTACTCATTTCTCTCATCGGCGCCGCCCCCAGCAACAACAACGCTCCCGCTCGAGACTTCCTCCCTTTTTTACTCAAGGCGGTGCTCCTCCTCGCCGCCGAAAACCGCCGTCCCGGCAAAACCAGTGCTCCCGCCCGAGACTTCCTCCTGTTTTACGGTGGGCTGGCGCCCTACTCTCTTTTGAATTGGCGCCGCTCCCAGCAAGAACAACGCTCCCGCTAGAGGGTTCCTTTTTTGATCCTCAGGACGGTGCTGCTGTTCCTCGCCGCGACAGCCCTCGTCCCGACAAAACCACGGCTCCCGCTCGAGACTTCGTCCCTTCTTACTCAAGGCGGTGTTCCTCCTCGCCGCTGAAAAACAGCCGTCCCAACAAAACCAGCGTTCCCGCTCGAGACTTCGTTTTGTATTACGCTGGACTAGCGCCCTACTCTCTTGAGCATTGGCGCCGCTCTCAGCAACGACAGCGGCCCTGCTCGAGACTTCCCCCCTCTCTATTATTGTCCTTGCCTCGCCGCAGACAGCCCCCATCCCCACCAAGGCAATCCTGTCGCTCGATACTTCCTTGTGCTTTACCCTTGGCTGGGGCTCCACTGGCGGTCTCGCATCGTCGCAGCAAGGCGCGGGCATGCGTTTTCGAGGCGGGATATGTTGAAATTCCTCGGAGGAGGTATTTCCAAGACCTCATTGGGCGGGAGGTCTGGGAAAGGGAATAACGGACCCCGCTATGAAAAAATAGTCCCCCATTATGGGGATGGTTATCATGATGGTTGCATGCTTCGTGTGGAAACATCGCGCATGAAGGTAAACTGATTGTTGTTGTTGTTGTTGTTGTTGTTGTTGGTGCTGGTGTTGTTGTCGTTGCTGTTGTTGTTGGGGGGTAAGGCGTACTTGAGTTCCCTGGGTGAGACCCAACTACCCCAGCAACCCCCCTGGGGGGGCCGAAGGCCCCACTCCGGGGGTGGGGGGCCGAAGGCCCCTCTCCTGCGGGGGGGCCGCGAAATCGACGTCTGCTGATTGCTCAGAGATAGGGCCGCGGACATTTGGCAATTTAGCATCACCTCGAAGATCCCATGGGCATTGGGCGCCACCAACAACATGCTGGAGGACGCCTTTGGCAGCGGCAGTCTGCCGACCTTTAAACAGAACTCGTAGATGACGATGGAGATCATTGCGCCAATCTTGCACCCCTGCCGACCCCTTGTGGCAAACGGTGTCGAAGGCTGCGGACAGGTCCACGTATGTCGGGGATAACGATTTTCGCTGGTGCCTGACCACAGAATGAAGTTCGGCAGCCAAGCCTGCCGTAGTAGTATTGCGGCCTCTGACAGCACCGCACTGGGCATCAGGAGCTACATTCGGGTAATGCTCGTCGGGCTCGTCTTTCAGGACAGCCCCGTGGACCTTGCCGATGTGGGATTGAGCGAGGATGCCACCGCCGTTATGATAATGATGATGATGATGGTGGTGGTGATGATGATGAATGGTAGTGGTGATGTTCATGGTGCGTCTGATGGTGATGATGATGCTGATGATGATGCTGATGTTCGCGGTGATGATGGTGATGGTGTTGATGATGGTTGTGATGATGATGGTCTTGATTTTGACGGTGCTGATGGTGACGGTGATGGTGGTGCTGATGGTTGTGGTGATGATGTTGTTGCTGATGATGCTGGTTGTGCTGCTGCTGTTGACGATGCTGATGGAAATGGCGACTATGACCATGCTGATGATGACGGTGGCGCTGATGATGTAGGTCATGTTGATGATGGTAGCGATGATGGCGATGGTGCTTATGATGATGATGCCGATGATGGCCGTTATGATGACGATGATGATGATTAGGATGAAGACGATGATGATGATGATGATGCTGATGATGCAAGTGGCGATGATGCTCGAGATGGCGACGCTGGTGGTGATGATACTGATGATGATGGTGAAGGTGATGGTGCTGCTGCTTCTGCCGATGATTATGATGGTACTGCTGCGACGATGGTGGTGATGCGGATGCGGATGCGGATGCTGATGCTTATGCTGATGCTGTTACTGATGGTGATGGTGATGGTGATGGTGGTGATGCTAATGACGACGATGATGATATTGCTGATGATGTTGATGATGCTGATGGTGCTGAGGTAGATGATTATGATGATGTGCGTATACAGACTAGATAGGAGAGGAAGTCATGATGATAGTTCTGTTCTTGGTGTCGGTGGTGATGATGCTGGTGAGTGAGTGATAGTAGGGGAAGTGGGGTTCTAGCGCGGGGTGTCGGGGGAACCAGTTTGCTTACTTATGTGATGAGAGATCTATTCGGCAACGCCGTCAGTGGCGTCAGGACGGCATCGGCGTTCACCGCCTCCAGAGAGTGTCATCAGAGCCGCAGACAGCCGTGCGTTCGATGTCACCGTCATCTCCATTTTGGGTTTTGTTTTGGCGCCGTCAGCACATCCACGCTCCGCATAAACTGGTTAGCGCTAGCCGTCTCTTCGAAATTCTGTTTAGGAGCTCTTTGTTGATCCCTTGAGCAGCCCCGTAGTTGGGAAACAGGACCGGTTGAATGGCTTAGCTGGTTCCCTGTGCACGACACCGCATACGGGCACGAGAGAGAGGGTTATCCGTGAGAGAGGGATTCGTGGCAATGAGCGCTGGTACGATGACGAAGGAAGTCGGCCATTTATCGGTCAGCAATTGCAGTAGCTTTATCGAAACTCGTGCTCACCTCAACTTCGCGCAGGCTTTGAGTCGATCTCTGGGCATGCTCAAGCAGGCAGACGCACCGCGCCGAGGATAGGAAGGTGGTGCATGCAGCATGGCCATGGCCCCATACACCGCGCTTTGCCTTCTGCCAATCTCCCCCCCCTCATCCCCTCCATCCCCTTCCCTTCCTTGCCTCCCCCCTCCCCATCCCCTCGCCCTCCCCCTCCCTCTTCCCCCCTGTCGGGGGGCCTCACCACCCCTCGCAGTGTATTTTGGGTAGATGCCATGTAGATTTCAACCAGAATCCCAACCCCCCTTTCTCTCTTCCGCGCCGCGCCAGGCTCTCAGCGCCCTCCCCGCCTTTTTGCTCCCTTCTGCCCCCCCCCCCACACCCCCTCCCCCAGGCCTGCTGCCCAAGGGATCATCTCAAGATGGGCTGCGGCAAGTCAGCGCCAGCGGCAGCGCCAGCGGCAGCGCCAGCGGCAGCGCCAGCGGCGGCAGCGCCGGCTCCAGGTCCGAAGCCGGGGCAGTCTTTCGGCTGCCTCCTCTTGCTGCTGCTGCTGCTGCTGCTCCTCCTCCTCCTCCTCCTCCTCCTCCTCCTCCTTAAAGGTGGGTGGACAAAACTTATCAAGATCAAAGCTCAACCTGGTGATGATCCGTTCGAGGTTGCCTACAATGATGTGGGCCTGCAGCAGCTGCAGATCGATCGGGTAGCTTTATCGAGGGCTGTGGAGGCGGCTATTGCGCCGCCTCAAGCTACTGCGTGGTCTCTTTGACGGGCTGATTGGGTTATTCTCTTACCCCGAGGAGGAGGAGGAGGAGGAGGAGGAGGAGGAGGAGGAGGAGGAGGAGGAGGAGGAGGCGGAGGAGGGGGAGGAGGGAGGAGGGAGGGAGGAGGAGGAGGAGGAGGAGGAGGAGGAGGAGGAGGAGGAGGAGGAGGAGGAGGAGAGGAGGGAGGAGGGAGGAGGAGGAGGAGGAGGAGGAGGAGGAGGAGGAGGAGGAGGAGGAGGGATGAGGAGGAGGAGGAGGAGGAGCAGGAGGAGGAGGAGTAGGAGGAGGAGAGGAGGAGGAGGAGGAGGAGAGGAGAGGAGGAGGAGGAGGAGGGGAGGAGGAGGAGGAGGGGAGGAGGAGGGAGGAGGAGAGGAGGAGAGAGGAGGAGGAGGAGGAGAGGGAGGAGGAGGAGGGGAGGAGGAGGAGGAGGAGGAGGCGGAGGATGGAGGAGGAGGAGGAGGAGGAGGAGGAGGAGGAGGAGGAGGATGAGGCGGAGGAGGAGGAGCGGAGGAGGCGGAGGAGGAGAGGAAGGAGGAGGAGGGAGGAGGAGGAGGAGGAGGAGGAGGAGAGGAGGAGCGGAGGGGGAGGAGGAGGGTAGGAGGAGGAGGCGGAGGAGTAGGGGAAGGGGGAGGGGAGGGGGAGGGGGAGGGGAGGGGGAGGGGAGGGGGAGGGGGAGGAGGAGGAGGAGGAGGGAGGAGGGAGGAGGAAGGAGAGGAGGAGGAGGAGGAGGAGGAGGAGGAGGAGAGGAGGAGGAGGAGGAGGAGGAGGCGGAGGAGGAGGAGGAGGAGGAGGAGTCTCTGGAGTCTCTGCCTGATCGCGTAGCAATGTGAATAATTGAACCTCCGCCACCCCAGCAGGGGTGTTGTGAGCTCTGGTGGCCTTCTCAGCTCGACTGAGGGCCTTCGGCCAGAGCCCCTTGGAAATACGCTTGAGGTATTCCTGCCCCGAGGGGGTGAGCCTACCGCAGGGTTCCCCGAGTTTCCCGAGAACCAACTGAGCGTAAGCTCCACACTTAACACAGGACCATAAATTCAGCCCAGCGTGGAACCGAGAACGGTGGGTACTGTGTACACCCCCCCCGCGACATGGACCGACTTCCCATGTGGGGCCTCCTTATAAGTGCCGTCAACGTTATTAAGCTCAAAACATTCCGAGAGGAGCCAACGAGACCTCGAGGCCTTGCTGGAGGAACTAAAACACCTAGTGCATTGAGAGCCTGTGGGGTCAACAGAGTGCTGGGAGCCAAAGAGGGCACAGGAACGAGGGGCAGGCGGTCGGTCGGCCTTAGACGCTACCTGCCTCTTAGGGTGATGCTCCCTCTGACGCTGAAATTCCTGCTTCTGGGCCTCGAGAGTGTCGAGTGCCGTACGTACCAATCTCATGCGAACCTGAAAAGCTTTTTGTTCAGCCAGCGCTACCCGCTGGCGGTGCTCAGGTGAAACGCGTGCTTCACTGGCAGCAATACCTGCAAGAGTGTCCGCAACACAATTGCCCACCGCCGAAGATGAGGCAATCCTTCCTTGAATGACATCCTGCGGCTCGGCGTGAGAAGGTATCCAGATAACTGTGACCGACCCATTGCGTTGAGCCGTCGCCTTCTTCAATCTGAGCCAAAGGTCAGCGTCGCTGCCTGCGGGTTCCTGGACCTTGCCGTGATGGAAATGGATGTAACATGCTTCGTTGTCGGTGAAGAAAACTATATCCTGGTCTGTGGCCTCCACTGTCGCGGCGAGGGCGAGGAGCTCCCCTCTGGGTACAGTCTGGTGGGGACCTGGTAAAGGGCCCCAGAAAGCAGCACGTATCTCCATGTCGTTGTCCTCGAGGCTGGTAAATATGGCAGCTCCGATACCCACCCTCCGAAGATGTGGGTTGTTGGTGTCCTGGCCGCCACTTGCATCCCCGAAGGCGTAGAGTGTGTCGACGGGGGCTCGTGGACACCGTGGGGAGAACTCCTCGAAACCATGGCAAGTCCACTTTTCGTGTTGTGGCGGTTGCGATACCTCCGTCCATGCTGCTGGCATTAGTCCCCTAGTCCAGAAACACTCGTACATGTCCCGCTGAGCGTAGGCCTCAGGTAGCAAATAGTTGGTGCCCTGAATGCTGGGATTGTCCTGATTGCCTTCGCATTCCCAGGCTCGGTGGAAGTCGTCTTCGTTGGCCAGGCCGCACCTGGGGCACTTGGCGTCTACGTCTGGCGTCTTTGTTTCCTGAAATACTCGCTGTCGTGTCCACATAGCGCCCGTGGCGATGGTGAGCATCACATTGGACAACCTTACTCCCTGTGGCATGCGCTCTAAGTAGGTGAGTAGCCTGCGGTAGGACCTGTTGCCCGCACCATGCTGCAGGCCCTCACCTCCATGGTGCTTGCTGGCACAAGTCCACAGTTGATGGCAGATGCTGGTGTCGATGTCTAGTCGGAGCTGATGTGGGATGTCGGCGTCGGGGAAACCAGAGAGCTCTGTGACGTCAATCACCCAGGAGTCCCCGCTTAGACCTGCTGTCTGAGGCATGTGCCATTGAGTCGGTCGTGCTGGATCCCACCCCATCTGCATGAGGTAGTGGATGATGGTGGCTTGTGGGCCACGTATGTGTCGGACACGCTGCGCTGCTGGGATGTGCTTGAAATGCTCGACGATCTTAGCCCACGTGCTGTTGATGGCGTGGTGGGGCTGCTGATTGGAAGTCCACGCAGTGAGCCATGCGACAACAGATTCTCGTGGCAACTTGCGTGCTGGGTCACGTTCTGCAGCCTTGAGGTCGAGGAGAGTGGTCAGGCATCGTCCTCGAAGCCGTGGTCCGGCCGCATCTCCCAGACGCCGTCTGCACGTAGTCATGGCCGTACCAAATGTGCCGTAGAGTTGGTGAGCGTAGTTGGCTGCTGCGAGCCCACCCTGGATGGCCAGACGGAGTGTGACGTGGTAGCGCTTGGTGACTCGTGCTGCCCTGACGATCTTGGCATGCATGCTGCGGTGCCGTAGACGTCGCTGTGTAGTAGTGGCGCGCGCCTGCCTGGTACCGCAGCTGAGGTCGGCCCCCAGGTACGCGGCCTGCGCGCGCGGCTGGATGGGGTAGCCCTTCATGCGCATGGCCTTGGCTATGTACTTGGCGTCCTGGATGTGGGTGCAAACTATGACGCTCTTCTTGGCGATGCTGAGGCCGTAGTCCTGGAGCGCCATGCAGGTGTCGGTGAGAACGTGAACCATATTGGCGCGCAAGGCGCGTCGGCTGGCCTGCATGCGCCGCGACAGGTCGTCGACCCATATGCGGTGACGTGCCTGAGGATGGCACGTGGTGACATGGAGCAAGGCCTTGTAGGTCATGATCTTGGCGAAACGAGTGCCCGATCGGAGCCCTTGTACCACTGAACGTGTTGGTTGGATGGCATCGGCGTAGGCGCCGCTCTGCATGGGCGCGCGTGGTGCCGTGCACTGTAAAACCTCAAGGCCCAAGATCTCGGGCGGGAAGTTGAGCTCTAGGGCCTCATCAATGAGGGTGGTCCAATGTATGGAGTCATAAAACTGCGAAGCGTCGAGGAGGCCGTGAGCTTGCGTGGTGCCGAGCTTGGCGGCCGCCTCCTCGTGGAGGCTGCGCTCGTAAGCCTCGCGGAACGCGGAGTTCCCCTTGGCGATGGCGTCCCAGTGGGCGAAATACCCCCTGTTCCAGGCCTGAACGTAGGGTTCCCTGATGAGGGACCAAAGACGAGCGATGATGGTCATGATGCCGAGTATCCTGTCCCCGTTGTCCTTCTTCGCCCTCATGACCCCGATGGTGTGAAGGAGTTGATGAGGCCACATCTGTACCTGCTCTGCCATGTTGTACAGCTCGGCGAGCTCGCTGGGTGCGTTGTCTGGTAGCCGTTGTAGGTCGGCTGGTCGAAGTCGGTCAGCTCCCAAGGCGGCGTTGGCCTTGAGACGCTTGATGGCTTGTCGCACCTGGTGGCTGGTGATGGGTGGCAGCGGGCACTCCTGGATTCGTTCGACGATGCGGTGGAAACACTCCTGCAGGCCGCACATGTTGGTACCTCCCTCGGGTGCCCAGAGTCGCCTCCAGGTGTCGACCTTGCTGTCAATCAGGTCCTCGGGGTGCATGATGGTGGTGTCTTGGTCCCTGGTGACCTCGGCGGGTTGTGGCTGGGGTCGTAATGAACGATGTTATATACCTATGGCGTCGTCAGTAACTGCCCAGTCGCGAAGATTGTAGATGGCACGTCGTATTGGCCCGCTGCTGCGCTCGCCGTGCTAGGCGTGATGCTCTGACTGCACCAGCGACGACCTGCTCAGCGCTGTGTTGCTGTATGTTGCCGAGGAAACCGAGCCACTGTGTCCAGCTGTAGCCGTCCTTGTCGTGTTAGACTTGAGCGGCCCGGCTGGGGGGCGATTCGTACAGCCTCCCGATCCCTCGGCACAGCTGCTGGAGCTGGAGGTGGCCGTTGCCTCGCGCCCTGTGCCTGTAGATGCCCTGCAGCAGGGTGTGGAGCGTCGTCCACCACGTGCTGCTGCTGTCTGAAAGTGGGGAGATGCGTCGACACTGCAGCTCTCGAACAACTTCAATCTGATACTGCGGTCCCTCGGCGCGTGAAGTTCCGCTGAAAGGGATCTGGTGGTGTGCGCAAATGGGGGTCTCGACGGTCGTGGCCCAAGAACCGTAGAGTTGCCCAAGCTGCAGGGCGATGTCAGGCTTGAGCCTAAAGGCTGCAGGTCCAGCAGCAGCAAGAGCAGGCCGCGAAGCTTGCGGCGGCAGGA